GGGGGGGGGAGGACTGATGGAGATTTGATGCAGAGATACAGATTTATTTTGGGTTCTTGAACACAGAGACCTGTGCGGAATGGTGGTTAAGACGAGATTTGGGATTTCTATACGTTTTTATTGTATTTAAAGTAATTTTTTTCAGTTTGATACATTTCCTCTCCCTCTTATCTATTGATGATTATTGTCCTTGTACAGCCGATCACACAGATGGAGACACATTCTATCTCTCGTACCTACAGTATAAAAATAACGTCCTCGCCTCCCATTCGGATATTCTGGATCTCTGCCGCCCGACGATGTGAATTTTTGTGTTATTCACATTATAGCAACAAAACTTCCAGCAGACATTATATTACAATTGTTCATACTCTGATATCCTGGGTGGGGGAGGGGACACTGTCGTACCTTTATTTATTCAGCAATGAGAGAACACCTGACACTGAAAATGTACCCAAAACTGTTTTTTTGTTTGGGGTGGAATTTGAAGGGTTAGATCCTCTGTCAGGTTTTATTGCTAACGTGCAGTAGTGGGAGCTCCACACCCATAGATCAAGAGAGTCCAAGATGGTGTATTATTAGATATTCATTAGAATAAAAAAGCCATCATGTTTTGAGGGTTCCAACACCCCCCCCCTTCATCAGGGCAGGGTCCTATATCACCTCCAATATGGCCAGACATCTATGGGGTAAGATCCTCCCCACCAGGAGCCGTTTTGTCTTCAACCCAAAAAAAAACCATGCCGGAGACGAGTGTTAAAGCTTAAAGGAGAACGATGGGGTCAGGGCTCTTCCCCATAGTTCTCCTTAGGGTAACGGTAGGACACAAACTAGCGTCCTCCCGTCACCCTAAGCTCAGTATACCACAATCTTCTGCTCGCGGTATACTGAGGCGCCGCAGCTGAAGCAGATCCCGACAATTATGTCGGGATCAGCCCAGCTGCGTGAGTGACAGCTGGCTCTGCCTATCTAGAGGCAGAGCCAGCTGTACCCGCCCCCTCCCCCTTCCGTTCCGCCAGTCAGCGCTGGCGGATCGGAGAGGGGAATCGAGCCCCTCCCCCTGTCACAGCAGAGAGCCGTGACAGGATCGAGAGGTGAGCGAACCCGGTATGTGTTCGCTCACCTCCCGATCTAATGAGCCGACCTGTGACAGTCTCCTTGTCACAGGTCAGCTAGAACTATGAGGTGAGTGAAAAGCACCCCCCCCCATAGTTCTCCTTTAAGTCCTCATTCAGATGGGGCGTGCACACCCGTAAATGGGCCGATCCCGGGAGGGACAGGTCCTGCACGCAGCAGCCTGTTCTTTCCTATGGCAGGACGCGGCTGTACGCTGTCATCTGCACACCTGAACTTGTACATCTATGCGGGTCCGGGGGGGTTAACACAAGGATGCACACTATCTGCGTTCATGTGTGACACCTGGACCCACACGGATGTGAAGATGACAGTGTACAGCCGCGTCCTCCCATAGGGAAGAACAGGATGCTGTGTGTAATTACACCCAGGATCTGCGGCCGTGCTCACCCCATCTGAGGCCGATCACACTGCTCAGCACCCCAATGTGCTTATTCTA